ACAAAATAATCGCTCTTTTAGTTCATTAAAATTTATAACAAGGCAGCAGTTTATAAGAAAATTATTTAAGTTACTTACCAAAACAGTTTCCGGATTGTCACAAGAAGGACACAAAACAAATTTCTTGATAAACCCATCCAAGAGATCCTGTAGCTTTGCAGCTTCGTGAGAACCATTAACAATATAACGCTCATTTTTCAAGTCAAACTGTGTTTGAGCACCAAGTTCGCATCCAAAATATTTGGTTGGGTCTAAAATAAAATTAAAATAAGTGTTTTTATACAGGAAAAAATCATTAAGTTTCAAAGGCTAAGCAGTCAACAAAAATTCTACACATGTGTCGATTTGATGTCAAATAATACCTCATAAATAACAATGCATTTTATCTTGTTAAAATATTATTAAAACAAAATAATTGTTTTGCTTTTTTAACAAAACTGATTTTGTAACAAATTAATCTTAAGCAATCTAGAATTCTAAATTTTTAAAAAGCAACAAATTAGGTTTTTTTCTTTTGCTGTTTCAAGAGTTACAGAATGAAAACTTTCAGAAAAAAAAAAATATATACCTAATTAAGCATGGAGCTAACAGTGAGTTGAAAAAAGTTAAATAGTTAATAAAGTCAGTCAAGTACTTATACTAAGAAATTAAATTTATTAACTACAGAAATGAGAACTTACATGTTGGAGGTCTATTCAAGGCCTTAGCTACTTCAACCATATTTACCACTACAGTCTTAATGCCATTGCCCTTTCCTTCCACCTATATGAAAATATTCAAAATTAATAAATAAAAATCTAAAACAAGAACTACAAAAATATTAAAGCAAAGGATAAGATTATAAACTCATCACTAAAATAGAAGTCTTACAATTATTTTAAAACGAAATTTTTTTTTCATTATTTACCTAAATGGAGAAATTTGAGAACATACGGCAGTGTTTTCATCATAGAAAAAAAATGGGTGAGAATTTCTCACCCTTTCTCAGAAACAGGGTGAGATTTCAAAAAGTTAAGTGAGATTTCTAAAAACTGAAAAAAACACAAAAACTCTTGGAAAAAAAAATCATTTTTTTAATTATGGCCCATTTTTAACGTCTTTTATTTTTTAAAGCATTGAATATTTTAGCTGTATCATTATAGAAGATTTTGCCTTTACAAGGTATTTTTCCATCTTACATTAGTGCATTAAAAATTTGAAGGTCATACATGAAGAAACCTTACGGTAAACAAGTGGTTGCAGAGAAATGTGTTCTGAAAGGGGTTGTGTTCTGTTGTTGGAAAAGGTTCTGGACAATACTGGTAAATAGGGAAGCTAGATAACGAGGCAGACGTTGAAAATAATGAAAGATCAAGGAAAAAAAGTGAAACGGGTTTTATTCTAAATGGCGTAATTCGAAGCCTTTTCCAAAATGCGAGAAATTCGCGAATTTTGAAATTAATTTATAGAATGCGCGAATTTCTCGCGGTAATCATTTTTAAATGCGAGAACAGAAAAAAATATGCGAGA